CACTCTCCGAAAACGGCGCTCTGACGAAGGAAACCAGGAACATTGCCATAAACCGCAGAAACAAGTCCTCCTTCATCATTGACCGCCACCGCCGACCAAGATGCCCTGGCCACCTGCTCATACTTTCCTCCATATCACGATCCATCAGAATAGATGTGGACCGCCTTCGAGAAGCGAAACTCGGAAATCGGGCCCTCAGGCCCAACGTATCTGACTTCCCCATCCCAACTCGCGGGAACAATCCCGTCTGGGCGAGGTAACCAAAGGTTCGTGAAGAAAGGGTCCCCCCCCCCCCGCTTCCAGTCCTGCCTCCACCCACTCTATCGGCATGTGCTCCTGCCTCAGCTCCTCAAAGTGCGGGCACTGGAACACCCTGTGCCAGACGCTGTCTAGCGCCTGCGGGTTCCTGCAGAAAGGACAAGTTGGCTCCACCTGGTATCTCCAGCGATGGAGATGCTGTGCCGTAACGAAGCTTCTAGTGAACACCTGTTTGACGACGCGCCTGAGGTTTTCCCCCTTGGAGCCATTCCAAAACGCGCGGGGCGGATCCGTCCAGAGACCTCCCTCCAGAATATCCTGTGCTCTAGGGTGTTCACTAGAGCCCAGGTACTTCTGCATACTCTCGGCCACAAACTCCTCACCTAGATCCTTGAAGAGGTAGTTGGATACCTGAACGCAGGGGATCTCCGTGAGCACACATGGGGCCCCTGACCACATAGTAATCATACCTGGTCCACGAATGCTCCAAGACGCCTTGCCCATCCAGAGAAGCATGTCCCCCACAGGTCCCCGCGATCTTATGTCCCAAGAAGCCAGTTCACGTCGGTCCTGGTACTCTCGAACCACGTTGAGGATCCTATGGAGCTCCCCTATGGCGAGGCAATATCCAGGTCTATGCACCAAATCAGAGGCCAGCCAAAACTCTTTCGCATAGCGTGTCATAGTCGCACAGGCGTGCTTCAAAGGGTCTCGTTGAGATTCGAGCGCGAAGGCCAAGTTGAGATCTGCTCCACAGCTCGAAAGTCCTAGCATGCCTGCGGCCTGCGTCCGCAGGCGTCGAATCTCTCGGGGGTTTCAGCCCACCACCTCTTCGCCATAGGTAGTCGCAGGCTTTACCTCGCAAAACCATATCTTAGCCCTGGAGCAATTCGGATTTTTCTAAACTCGTAATCTTATTGATCCTCCCCGATTGCTTCACCCACCTCTCCCTCCTCTTCTGCTTCGCATGTTTGACGCTCTTATGTTTGCCTGGGTTGGAATCCACGCCTAAATTGACCAGCGATACATCATACTGGCCTGCATACTGGGCGAGATTCAGCTTGGCAATGCGCGCCAGATCCTCGCTGGTGCCTGTGATACAGAACTTCTCAATCGCGAAAGTCAGATTGAAGAGCTGAGAGAGGAGGTCTATCAGAAAGGCAAGGGCGGCAGCCAAGTTCCTGACGCACGTGACCATGTCTGCGCATCTTTCATTTAGGCTGAAATCATCCACATGAACCGCCAACTCCGTCGGACACCCCTGCTCCAGGAATCTGCTTATCGTGGGAATGCAATAAACCTTGATTTCAAAAGTAGCCGTACTGCTTCCAGCGACAATCCCCTGATGTGGAAAAATCCCCTGGGACACCACTCCATCTAAATTGAGTATCCGCTCCCACGCATACGTGCGCAGTGTAAACCTTAAAGTGTACAACGGATACTGCCATTCTATCGCACTCTGCACAAGCTGGGGGTACTGCACGTGTTCGTAGCACTGAGTGAGGTCTGCAAGAAGGCTGAGCACGTGCTTGCGTTCTGCAGTCGCCAAATCCCCTCGAACCTGCTGCCGCCACACTGTGTCAACCGGTGACCTGCCTGCCCTCATGCTGAACACTCCCCAATCCTTCAACTTGTGCTCCCATCTCTTACAATCTCTAGAATGCCACCTGGACACCAGCCTCACCGCACTCTGGAAGAACCCAATCGGCCTCCTCCCCGAGACTGGCTTGCGAAAAAGGGCGAGGACCAGCTTCCTCATCCAGGTGGGCACCGCGCCCGCGACCGTCATAGCAGCCATAACCTGCTGGAAAACACCTAGCGCCTCGTCACAAAGCAGCATAAAGTGTCGAGGATGGAAACCATCCACAGCAATGGTGGCTCTCTTAAACGAACTGCTTAGGGCACGAATCTCCTCAATACTCGGGGGGCTCGGGATCACCATGTATTTCGGCCAAGTCACCTCCTTCTCCTCTATGGCATCCTCCCCCCAAGCTTTGCTCCACTTCACCTCCTCCTCCTCCTCCTCCTCCTCCAATTGACGAGTTAAACACGACGTGTGGTAACCATCATCAGTGGGGTGGAGGTCCTGTTTACGATCGCTTGCCACCTTGGTGTACGCGTGCGCCCACTTGGCTCCACCAGCGAGGGCCTCCGTGCACCAGTCGCTCCACTTGGCTGCCTTGTCCGACTTCTCTCGCGGCAGGCTCCGAGCGGCGACGTAATCTGCGAACTGCTGCAGGGCTTTGAAAGTGTTCGCAATCACATCTAGGAACAGGATCTCGTAATGTACCCAAAAACATCCAAGAGCCGCCTTCAGTAGGCCCATCCAGGCCTCGCGTCCTCCAGGGTAGTGGTACCTGAAAATGCCTCCATTCTCAGTAGCCCTATAGGTGGCCTGGAGGAGCTTTGTGAAGTAGTTAGCGTGAGTATAATATTTACCTGACTGCACCAAACTTGCGATATCGTGGCATCTGCGTCCTAACCAGTGCAGCGCTCTCAAGGGCTTCTCGTGGGGTTCCTCCGAGTGCACAACAACTCCCCAAGAGGCACCTCCGAAGAATCATACGGCTGACCTCCTTTGAGACCTTCTGGAGTCTGTTGCAGGGTTCCCTCAAGTTCCCCCCACGCTTTAGAACACCAACTCCTATATACTTCGTCAAGTTCGCTCTGAAGTAGATCCACTTCCCCTCCCTGCGGTAGCCGATATCCACCCTCAATCTTCATGGGCCTCAGGAAGTGCTCAAGCCTGTCCTGCAGATCCTCATAGTCGGGCTCATCCTCATCCTCCTCCTCCTAATCCTCATCCTCCTCCCTCTCCTGATCCTCCTCCTATTGCTCCCCCACGCGTTCCCCGAAGGCTTTCCAAACCGACTCGGGGAACAACTGGCCCGATAAATTGGCCAAGCTCTAGCCCAGCTGTCGGCCATATAGGCGCTTCCCAAGGGGCAGGGGGCGGCGGTGATTCGCCGTAGTAGGCGTCTTAGATCCGCCGCCCCCTGTAGGCTTGCCACAGGGGCGCCCGGCGTGTTGGTTTGGTACCTTTTCCGAAAGAACTCTCCCCTGGGGCTCCGGCCCGGCCCGCCGGCCACCTTGAAGGACCCGGAAGACCCGGTTGCCAAGGTTTTTCGTGCCCCAGACGGCTCCAATATGGCCCAAGCTGGCCTTCAAGATGCCTCCAAGATAGCCTCCAGGACGTCCCAAGATACTTCCAAGTCCGCCCAAGAAGCGTCCAAGACGGCGGCCCGAGAGGTGCCCAAGAGGCCTCCAAGACGGCCCAATAGGCCTCCGAGAGGTCCTCCAGAGGGCCGGAGGAGACCAAAATCATTGACTTTCCGAAGGAATTCGTGTTTGCTCTTTTTCGGCCTGCCGACGGCCCAAGACGGCCCAAGAGCCCCCAAAGATCGCCCCAAGATCGACCAAGAGGCCTCCAAGATGGCCCCAGAGCGGCCCAAGAGTCCCCCAAGACGGCCCCAAGAGAGGCCCACAAGACGGCTTCCGACGGCGTCAGACGGGCCAGGAGCAAACCAAGACGGCCGAAGATGGCTCTGTGGTGGCCCGAGACGGCCCAAGAGGTCTCCATGAGGGCCTCCAGGAGGGCCCGAAGAAGCCAAAATCATTGATGTTGCTTCTTCTCGGTCTTCTGACGGCCCGAGACGACCCAAGAGCCCCTAAAGATCGCCCCAAGATCGTCCACGAGGCCTCCAAGACGACCCCAGAACGGCCCAAGATGCCCCCAAGACGGCCCCAAGAGGGCCCAAAGACAACCCAAGAGGCCTCTAACACACCCAAGAAAGCCTCCAAGACGGCCCTGGAACACTCCAAGAGGGCCCTAAGTCGGCCCAGAGGCCCCCAAAACGGCTTGCGACAGCGTCAGACGGGCTTGGAGCGCACCAAGACGGCCGAAAATTGCCCCAAGATGGCCCGGGAACGGCCCAAGAGGCACCCAAGACGGCCCTAAGGAGACTCCAAGACGGCCCAAGAGGCCTCCAAGACGCCCAAGATGTTTTCTAAGACGGCCCTGGACCACCCCAAGAGGGCCCCAAGTCGGCCCATAGAGGCCCCCAAGACGGTTTCCGACGACGTCAGACGGGCCAGGAGCCCACCACGGCCAAAGAGGCCCCCGAGAAGCCCCAAAAGGCCCCCGAGAGGCCCAAGGACTTCGGCCCCAAAAATGCCTCCGAGAGGCTCCAGGAAGCTCCCGGGAGGCCTCAAGAGTGTCCCCATAGGCTCCCACAAGATGCCCCTTCCTCCTCCTCCTCCTCCTCCTCCTCCTCCTCCTCCTCCTCCTCCAACTCCTCCAACTCCTCCATCTCCACCTCCTCCACCTCCTCCTCCTCCTCCTGATCTTCCCCGCCGTCCTCCCCCAATTGTTTGCCGAAGGGTTTCCACAACGGTTGGGGGAACACATGGCCAGATAGCTTGGCGGAGCTCTTGCCATAACGCTCGGCCACATGGGCGATTCTAGAAGGCAGGGGGGCGGCGGTGATTCGCCGTGGGCGTCTTCGAAAAGCCAGAGGGCCGGGGAGAAAGACAAACCCTGAGGAAGCCTCCGGCGGAACGCGCAGACCGCCCTGATCGTGCCCCAGCAGTCGCAGATAACCGAGACAGGTCGCGGCGCGGGCCTGGCGGGGCCCGCGGCCGCGACCTGTCTCGCGGTCCGAGGTCCGACGAGGACCAGGGAAGGCCAGGAACCTCGAGGCAGGCCCGGCGCGCACTCGCGCGAGGGGCCAGCAGGGGAGCGCCTCGGCGCCGCCGGCTGCGCTGTTCTCCCGCGGCAGGTCCGGGCAGCTGACGCACACGGGACGGGCTCGGCCCCCCTCCCCCCCCACCCCCCACCCGTGCCTGGCCATCTGGCGGAGCTCTTTCGAATCCTGGCGTTCGTCCAATGTGTCGGCCGTCAGGGGCCCTTTCTCGGGCCCAGGGGCCATCAGAAGCCGATCCGGGATAAAAAACTTGCCCATGGGAACGGATCGACAGCCTCGACAGCTCTGGAAACTACGAGTTGAGACAAACAGAATATACCAGACGTGCGCGGACAACCAGCGCCACGGAACAAAAGCAATATGGCCACACTTTACAATTTCCTGGCCTCCCGTGTCGGGCGCCACCCATCACAAACCTGGCAAGAATGAGAAGCGGGTCCCCCGGGATGCATTCGAGAAGTCCGTGGGCCTACGCCACTAAAGAAAACATGACGTCGGATGTGAAAGCGCGTCTCTACCTCATATGCCGCCGACGACGAACGGGAACAGCTTGCGCACAACCCAAGTGAGAACATACCCTTTGAGAAGTATGTGCAAACTGTTTCCATCATACATCCCCTGCATCCGAAACATGACCACCATCACGTGAGACAAACGGTTCTTAACATACAGCGCCCCCTATTCCCACAACGAACAACACTCCAGGTGGATCGCCCAAGCTCGAAGACGCAGGCTGAACTTGGTTTTGAACATCGTGCCAATTGTACTTACTCCCCTCGGTTCGTCATTCCTCCCGCCACGCGCCTCCCCTCTTCCCCCGCGGCTCCCTTCTGTAGGAAGGAGGTATAGAACAGAAAAGAGGTGTGCCCAAGGTCCTCGCATACCACTTTTCCAATCGGGATCCCACCCATCCACCCTTTTCACGCACTCCATCGTCTTCCATCCACCGTCCATCCTTTCTCCTCCACCCTCTGTCCCTCCCAACGCATTCCGCCATCGTCATTCCCTCGCTTCACTCGGCCCCCATCTGCCCCCCCCCCCCTCATGTCCTCATAGCTGTCCTCCTCCCCCCTCTCCCCTTCCACTCCCCCCTCCTCGTACTCAGCGGCATCCGTAAGGCTCAACGCATTGTCGATCACCCTGACACGCAAGCAATCATCCCAAACGGCATTGAAGAGCAATAGATCCGAAGAGCCAGAAGAGAGATTCCACGCACATCAGAACTGCACAGGCACCGAATCGATCGTTGCCCAACATGGCTGTGGGATTCCAGCGCCCCTCTCCCTCTTCCCCATGGGACTCTCGAAATGGCTTCGAATGGGGCCGTTTGTGGCGTTCCCTGAATTGCTGCGTTGGCTAAATCGTCGTCGCCCCCCGAGGTGACACTCAGCGGAGCAAGTGTAGGTTATGCACGACTGCATGCTATGGCAGAGAAATTGCAGCGGCACCCCTTAGATGTGAACCGTGAAACCTATGTGGCTTGCCAGCGTCTCGCGGCAAAAAGGGTCGGACTGCCTCCTCCTTGTCCGAAGAGCACGTTGCCAAGCAACTCTTATATCAGCTGGATGGACGTGGGCACTGGCATATGTTGGTGATCTAGACGCTCCTCATGCACCTGCACGTGGTCAGAGACTTGTTCCATGTCAAACTTGGGGAATGTAGATCTTGTGGCTATATAGTCCGGTACGCAAATGTAATGGAGTGAGCGTGCGTGGCATAGCTGGCCGAGGGAAAGGGGCCCAGCCGCGCGCGCGCGAACATTTTTTATAACGGAAGTAAACAACACCAAGTACCAACAGCTACAAGTAATATCGATGCGAATATGACATATGACGGCGCCGACGATGCAATCTGCATGTCGGCGCAAAGCACATCCCAAAAAATGGCGAAGGGAACGTTAGCACTGACTCCCCCCGCGGCCGTCAATGCGCGATCCCGCGCAAAAGCGGACTTCAGCACATTGGCTAACGCTCAGCGCCCTGGGCAGGCTGCCCTGGGCGCGAATGCTAATGGCGCAAGGCGAGCCCTCAGCTGTTTCAGCCGGTACCATTGATCATGACTTCCACCCCGCCCCTAGACGAGTGGGGCCCCGAGGCGCCGACCCCGAAAACAATTCTACGGCGCCAGTGGGCGGTGCGGAGTTAGCCCAAACATTGCATCTAGGTTTAGCTGAAGCTGATCAACGCACTCATCACCTGTAAAAGTACCTTCGCGCCGCGCCCGCCCGCCAGAACGCTCGTCACACAGTGACAGGAGGTGCCCCCTCATTCACTGGGAGCTCATCCCATGATGACGGCGCGCCCACTTCAGCGCCAAGGTCCACACCACTCCTCATCACGGCTCCAGCGGCTGCCCCAGCCCTGTCAGTTCCACCAGCGGCCAGAGCCCCACCGCGTGCCACTCAATGGCGACTGCGAGGCGTCGCCCTCCTGACCCTGGCGGAGGTCCTCGTCCTCCGCTAACGCGGCCGCGCGGCAGTCCTTCGCGGTAGGAGGAGTCGGCTTGCGGGGGGGGTCGGGCGCGCGGGAGGCGGGCGGAGGCGTCGCCGGCGCCCCGCGCCCCCGGAGGGCTCCATGTTGGATTTCCCAGGCTGCGCCAAGCGCGCACGCGCTACTTGCCCGCGCGCTCACATTCGCGCAAGCGCATCCTAAGAAACTATGATTTGGATCGGAACCGGGCGACAACGGGCATGGGGCGCCTGTCAAGGCTGCTTTTGGGAGCGATTACTGCTGGCTCGACGCGCGCGATATGCATGTGACGACTTTTGGAGAACGGGCGCTGCGCCGTCCAATCCAACGCGGCAATGGCGCGGCCCGGGGCGCGCGGCCGTCGCGGCGCACGGCGGTCGACGTGACCGCATGGGGCGCGCGATCGGCCGCGCGGTATTTGCGGGCCATTCGGCCGACGCTGCTGGGTCGCCCTCAAACAGCCCGCCAGGAATACGCAAATGCGCAATGCGCCAGCGCGCCGCCAGGATATCGCCCTGAAAAAAAAACATGTTCACTCTGAACGCCGACTGCGCGCCTCGCTGAACCAGCGAAGTCGCGCGGCGCGCCCGCGCCGCGGACCCGCCGCAATGAACTCGCGGGAAAAAGGCCTCTCTCCATGGGTTCTGGCACCGATTCTGGCCTACTTCCCCGTTCTGGCCGATTCTGGTTCTATCGCCGATTCCTCCTTTGATTCCGTACTGATTCCGTGCTGATTCTTTTGATTCCGCTAGAATCAGGGGTCGCAGTTGTGCCGATACTGTTTTGATTCTGTACTGATTCTGTACTGATTCCTTTGATTCCCCTGTGCCCCGGGGACCATCAGGCCGCGGCCCGAGCTCCCGCCTCGGCGGCATGGTTTTTCCAAGAGCGCGGGAGAGTTTTGAGGGGGAGGGGGGCGGGGGGGGAGGCGGAGCGATTCTTGGGGCGCTTCGGGCGGCCGAGCCGCAGATTTCCGGGCCCAGTGCGCACGCCCAACATGGCATGCGCGGGCGCGCGCGCGAGTCCTCGACCGTCGGCGCATCTGCAAGTTCGCGCCCCGCCCCGCGCGCGGGAATGGAAACTTGCGTTGCGGTTTCCAATTTAACGCGCGGCCGTCGCAACTGCGTCGCATTGCTCAGCGCGCAAAGCGCGCGCAGCATGAGGGCTTTGCGTTCTCGCATGAGAAATGCGCGGAACCGAACCGAACGGTCGTCGGCGCCCGCTCCTGCGCCGCGCGCGAGGCCATCGCGCCAGCGCGGGAGGCTACAGTGGCCTGGGCCGTCGCCCTGGGGCGCGGGCGCAGCGCGAAGCCCGCGCGGGTCTCTCGCGCCGAACATGCGCAACAAGGTCGGCCCGCCCGCCGGCCGGCGCTCGCGGGCGACGCGACGCCGGCGCCGACTGCGAGGCCGACTGGGCCCGGAGGATTCCTGAGAGTCCCGGGAAGGGGCAGCGGGCCGCGATGGAATCGGCGCGATCGCTGGCGCCCCCCCCGCGCCCGCCCCCCCCTGCAAGCCGACTCCTCCTACTTCGCGGCGCTGCAATCGGCGTCGGGGGGCCAGAGGGGGGGGGCAGCCGATGATGGAGAAAACGCCTGCCTGTCTTTCTCCCGCAATGTTGGTTTGCGGCGGCGGCTCGGTGACAATCTGTCCCAGGTGCCATGGCGCTCTCATCCCTTCAGGTCGCGGCCCCCCCTCCTGGCGCCGACAGGGGGGGGCCCTCCGCCGCGCTCCAGCCGACCTCGCCCGACGACGTCATGCGCGCCAAGCGTGGGCCGTCCGATGGCTGGCCGGGCCGCGCCTGCATTCCTGTATCGCGGCCCCTCGGCGGGTCGGACTTCGAAGCGGCGCCCGAGACGCGGTCCCGGGGCGCCGGCGGGCCCCTCGACGCGCGCCTTGGGAGCGTCGACCGCAGCGTAGCACGACGCCGCGAAGTCCACGCGTCTAGCGCGACAAGTGCCACATCCAGCATGGCGCCCTCCAAATGCTGGGTCGCTAGTCTGCGGGGGGCCGAACTGTCGGGCTTACGGAACAGGGTCGCGGCTGCGAGGCTGTGCTCGCTGCTGCGTCGCTGGATACCTTGGAGGCGATCATCTCTCAGCGCAGCGCTGTCCAGCACCATCTTCTTGGTGTTGCCAGGCATATCCAGCGCCCGCTCGTGGATCAGACGAAACCCCCTCACGGGCCCCGACGATCTTGGCCGCGCGCGACTCTCGGCGACATCAATCGCCACCCGGTGCGACTGTGGCGCCCGCAATGTGCCAGCCAACGCATGGGGGGTGTCGCGCGTCTGGATGGGCGGCGGCTTGCCCCGCGGGAGCTCCGCGTGCTTCAGAATAGCGATCGCGGACTGCTTTGATCCTTCATTTGTGAAATGATACCCGCGGAAGAACGACAGCGGCCGAGATCATCGCATTGCCCTGAATCGTGAAATCTCGCCCGCCAACGACATCATCGATGCGATCACGACGGCGCGGCTGCGCCCGGGCAAGTGGGCGGGCCCCGCGGCTTCGCGATCGAAGTCTTGCACTGTGGGCGCTGCTGGCAGTATCGCCAGACACCCGATTCATGGCTGGGCGGAGGCGCGCCGCGCCGCGCCTTTCCCGTCATGGACGGCCTGC